TGAAACCTGAAACTTCTTATGTGACAGCAGCTTTCTAACCTGAGGAAGGGCAGTTTTACCAGCCTTCCTGAACGGGCCAAGCGGGAGAAATCTCGGCCCAAGGATGGCGTGTCTGACACATTGCGTTTGTCCGAAAACAAGGGCTTGTGCTTAAGTTCCTCCATATCTCGGATCTGCTCGTCGTATTCTCAGAACTGCTCCTGAACACAACGTGCTGTTCACTGAAAGCTGCGATCGTTGTGTAACAGACGGTGTGGAAACTGCCCCTATGAGCATGACCGCCATTAAACAGTAAAAGCAGGGATGCGGGAGCCTGGGCTGCACCGTTGCCAGTCTCTCGTTTGCCAGCCGACCGCCGCTGCAGTTCCAGTTCTGGGCTGTCTCGTAGACTCACGAGAGAAGTCGCGTCAGATATTCCCCTAACAGCCTGAACTCTGAGCTAGGAGTCAGCAAGCCAAGGCCCCTAGGTTTTCCAGTTGCATACCTTCCTGGTGTGTGACTCACCCATCAGAAGGGCAGTGCAGAAAGATAACCTGAAACCTGAACCATTTCCTCCAGCAGTAAAAGGTGTGCAACTCGGCACAAGTTGTCTGGCACGGAAGGGGCCACAGGGCTCTCCTTGTACTGACTGGACAGGATGGAGTGGGCTGTTAATGGAAGTGGCTACCCATTGGGCGTGCTCTTGTGCACATATTCACTTGTGCACGGCATATGCTACACGGCATGTACATTGCTTGTATCTTGTGTAACTTATTTCAAGCTCCACGAATGTGTTTGTTTTGCAGCAGCATAATTGAATTACAGAAGGCTAATAGCTACGTAACTGCATCTACTGCTGCATTACTTCACAGCAGTGCTGCCCAGGTGGCAGCCATGGGCCATGCTCAGCCTGCGAGGGTTCATTTGGGGCCCCCAGGCTCCCTCCCTCCTGTGGCAGTCAGTCTCCAGGCTCCCCTTCCCTTCTCCACCTTTTGTGCTCTGCCTCGGGGTGGTGTGGAGCACAACGCACTGTGCAGGGGGGTCACCTACACATGGCATAGCGCAACGCAGCCGGGGGGAGCCTCCGTGTGTGGTGGGATACAGTACAGGGTGGGAGGGGGAGGAAGAGGGGAGTGTTCAAGTGTGTGGCACAGTTGGTTGTGGGGGGGCAGCCCTGGGTGCAGCCTATGGCCTGGGGGTACGTGGGGCAGCCCTGACTTGTAGCATACAAATATGTTTCTATATCAGTAGTTTCCAGACTTTGTGTTGCATCCAGGATGACTCTGGAGGCTTTTTATTTTTTCAGGAGAAGCACAAAAGCCAAAACAAGCTTCTCCAAACTATATACTATATACGGGGTCTGTGGAGTCTGTCTTTGTAGTTGGGGCAAGTTCAGACTCCTGTGCCTGTGTGTCGAGGAGCTTCTACAGTGCAGATTCAGATTTCTGTATTCCCACCCATTTCTCTTCAGATGATGATCTCTTGGCTGTCTCCAGTAGGGAGCAGGGCAGCTCTGTCTCTTCTCACCTGGGGTCATCTTCTTAGCACTGCTTATCACAGGCCTCGGCACTTCAGTTCACTGAACTGTCCCCCCTTTTCTTACATACTGATCAATCACTGTGGTTCGGACTGAATGGCTTCTGTGATTTGGTTTCACTGCTTGGAGGAAGGTAGTGACAGAGCCAGCAAGGAGGAGTTAGAGTATTCAGGACTCCCTGGCAATTGGTTCACATACCATCATTTAAAAAAATGAAGGATTGCATGCAAAATTTCCCTTGTACACACTTATATTAGGTGTGATAGGCTTAATTATTTCCAGACTATGGCAAAAGAAAATAATACTTCTTCAAATATGGCAGGGCTTTGCACAGTGAAAGCCGGAGGAAGCGTGGTGAAGCAGCGGCTGTTACTGACGTCTGTCCTGTCGCTAAGATTACAAGAGGCACATGACATGAGCCACATTTCAATAGGGGTTAGTATGCTGCAGTGCTCTGTCAGCATCCTAGCCTTTTAACTCGGCTAACTGTAAAGAGCCTGGTAATTCTCGTCTGGATGTATTGTTTGATTAAAGTCATTCTGCTTACCTCTGTAAAAAAGTTACATCAAGAAAAGCCGGAAACATCTGAGGAGCTCCTGGAGAAGGTGAAGACTTGTTGATGAGAAGAGGGGTACTTGCTTCCCAGAACCCTGCTGCTTTGTCACATGAGAGATCAGCCAAAGGCCTAGTTCTCCATGGAGCTTTGCTCTGCACTTATTTTGTGGCAGCCAGGGCAGAACAGCCAACCTCCCTCCCCCAGGGTAACCCAATTCAGACTCTGCTCTTTGATATGAACAACAGGGTCAGGATACATTTCTGAATCTTCTCACTGAGGACATTTTCCAGCCTGGGGAGTGATCGGCCGTTTCCCTGTCTCATGCTGTAAATTGCACTTTCTTTAACACTGCCCTCGTGCATGTTAAAATCATAGTTTTTAGTCCTCCTACTGGCATCCAGATCATTGGAGGTCAGTCTTGACAGCCACATAACTCATTCACGCAGTAATTGGCACATTCAAAATTAGACCAACTGCATGACGTCTGAGCTTTGGACTGGCACTGGGGTGAGTCAGCACCTTCCCATGTGATAGCTCCCTTCTCGCTGGAAGGAGACGCTCTCCATTACGTCATACTTTATTGCACAAACCTGAAAATGAATGAATTCAGTGTTGATCCTTCAGGAGCATCCAGCTCTGTAGGCTGATCCAAAACACTCTTCAGAATGGCTAAGTAAGCATACCCTGTTCCTTCAGCCTTCCTCACAGGTCGCGTTTCTTTTGGCCATCTTTGCTCTCCAGCTTATCTGAGCACTTTATGTAATGGTATGCTACTCCACATCTTTCCACCAGGCCTCTCTGTTTCTGTGCATTTCCTTTTATGTTACCACTACTTAGCCACAGATCATTTGAGGAGGATCACCAGGATTTTTAAGGCAGGTTCACAACCGTGCATAGGCTGAAACGAGTGATGCCAAAGCTTCTAGACACCTTCTGCTGTTGCGGGACGCATTCAAGAGGCTTAGCTGGAGAGTCTGGATGCGAGTAATGTGAAAATGGGTTGGGGGGAGATCCTGACTAAGTAGGAGACTCCTTGTGTAAGAGAGCTTCATGTTTCTAGGAGGCATTTTGCTGCTCAGCAGCTCCAGTCCCCTCGACCACGGCCCCAGGGTGCCTGGCTTCAGACTGGGAGATGATGCTAATTGCATCCAGCTGTGAAGAGCTCACAAGGTTCTCCTTAACCCTGTAGCCAGGCTTTTATACCTGAACCCACCACTTACCCCATCCTCTCTGCTTCTGAGTTCCCCATGACTCCCTGCCCTTCAGGCAGGGGTGGAGAGGGCTGCCTGGCTGCTGACCTTGGGACTTGCTGCTGCTGCAGCAGCAGCAGCTTCAGGAGCTCGGAGCTGGCCATGTAAGGGTGCCTGTCTCTCTGGACGAGAGAAGCTCTGGTGGTGAGAAGTTCCTTCTCACAAGCTCCCCCTTTCCATGTCACCCTGCAGCTCTGTGCTGGCCAAAGGACAGAGGCTGAGCAGGAAAGCAGCCAGCTGTGTGCCAGGCAGGAGTAGAGCCCCCGCACTGCCACATGCATAACCTGCTGCTGAATGACACTGCTGCACCAGCGTAAGCCTCTGAGGCCAGTGGGGTTTCACTTCCCGGCCTCTCCTGCCTGGCTACAGGTACTGGTCAGGAACAGCCTCTGTCCTGGTTCTCGTTCTGCCACACACGAGCCTCCAGGTCACATATGCTGAAGCATCCTTATGCTGAGCTGGGTCACTCAAAGGGGAACAGAGATGACTCAAGGGTTTGCTGTGACTTGTCGCACCATCCCTAGACCCTTCTAGCTCTGCTGATGTTGGCTTACACTGACCCCAGGATTCTCCAGCATCTGTGCGTAGGCTATGCTTGATCTGGTGGTTGTGTTGACGGTGCCTGTGTCTTGTGGTGTCTTGATCTTGCCGCCTCTGGCAGGAATAGCTTCTCGCAGAGGAAAAAACAAAGGTCAGAAGTGACTTCCTGCTGCAACCTGCTCCTTATTTCCAGCCCCAGCTCCTGCATCTTCCTCTTCACTCCCCATGCGTGCCATTCTCCCCTTATTGCAGTCTGCTCCCTGCCCCTGCTTCCCTTGGCCCTTTCCTGTAGGAAGACTTCCCTGCACGCGCGGCTGAGCTGCCCGTCCCCCTCGGCCCTGTGCATTCTGCTTTCCTGGCATGCTGAGCATCTGCCCTGTGGATGGCTCCAGACTCTTCCTCTCCCCTTGCAGCTGTGCCGCCCTATGGACCTCTCCTCATTCTGGCTGTTTTCCATGTACTCATCCTCAGCTGGGGATGAGCAGGAGCTGGTCTCTGCAGGAGTTCTGCCTGGGAGGACTGAGCTACATTAACATAGCTAATTGGTCCCATACTGTCAAGGGTTGGTCTAAAATAGCCTTTCCTGGGCTGCGTTTTGTTGCTGCAGGTGATGTCGTTGCCTTGCCTTCCCTACTTGCAGCACTGCCGCATTTCTTTTGTGGGCACAGAGTCTGTGATGAATTTGAAATAAAGCTCCACATGCATTGGTACTGTTAGATTCAATTAAAATAAAGTTGATTTGCACGTGCACATTCAGCACATCCACATACCTCAGCGTGTGTTGTACCTCTGCCAGTGCTGCTGAGCTGCCTGTAGTGTGCCTTGATGCAAGCAGCTGTCTGCATGCCTGTTGTATGCACAAGCCACTGAAGTGTGCAGTACCTTACAGCCCTGCTGTCTGTGCTGGACATGAGGGGAGCTGGACAGCTGAGGGCTGCCGTGCCGTGCATCTGATGAATACTGTTCATGGGCGCTTTGGATCCATATGTGCTCTGTCAGTGCAATGCAAGGCTGTGCCTCCATGGAGCAGGCAGGGGCTGGCACTGGTGGGCACCTCTGCCCAGTACAGGGGTGGATTCTCCCAGCATCTCCTGGCAGCAGCAGGAGACCCAGTGACTGTCCTCTCTCCTCCCCATAGGGCGTGCACCATGCTGGGCTCTGGGTTCAAGGCTGAGCGCCTGCGGGTCAACCTGCGACTCGTCATCAATCGCCTCAAGTTGCTGGAGAAGAAGAAAAGTGAGTAAAAGGGGGAGTTGGGGGGAGCCCAGGCACGCAGTTCAGTGCTGCTAGGGCAGGCTGTGAGCAGGTTGTGCAAGTCCCATCCTGTTTCCCTCTGCTTGCCCAAAGGGTGTTGGCTTCTCTGGGCAGAACCTCCGGTGCTTGACAGACTAGGTGGGGGCTCAGGGCAGGGAAGGTTACATCACTCCGTCATGGCCAGCATCTTGTGCCCTCTACACACTCTGAAAGTGGGTTTGGATTGGGGCTTGAAGGCCCCAGTTGCCCTGGAGGTCTGGGGTCTTCCCAATCTGGCTGTAGCCACTTCTAGCTTGGCCCTTCTGCAGGGGCCCTGGGAACCAGAGTGTTCATCTCATCTAGCCCAGGCAGCGGATTATGTGCAGCAGGGTGGGATCTGCGGAGCTTGTGCTGCCCCTTCTGGGTCAGGGTTGGACTTGGACAAACCAGGCACTGGGGAGAGACCCAGTCCTTTTCCGTACCCACCGCAGTGCAGGAGGGGCCTTGTGGAAGGTGTGGAACCCAGGTCCTGCTCGGAGGAGCCTGCACTGTGAGGGCGTGACCCCCGGGCAGGGCAGGCCTGGGAAGGGTGCCCCCAGCCTGGGTGGGGCAGAGGAGAAGAGGACTGGGAGGGGTCCCTTCTCTGCGGGCCTGGAGTACAGGGGTGGCAGGTTGCCCTTGCCCCTGGCATGACCCTGTTACTTGCCCTGCAGCGGAGCTAGCCCAGAAGGCACGGAAGGAGATTGCGGATTATTTGGCCGCTGGTAAGGATGAACGTGCACGGATCCGGGTGGAGCACATCATCCGGGAGGACTACCTGGTGGAAGCCATGGAAATCCTGGAGCTGTACTGCGACCTGCTTCTGGCTCGCTTTGGTCTGATCCAGTCCATGAAGTAAGGCCCTGGGCATCAGGCGTCCGTGGGGCAGGGGCTTCCCTTTGCACAGGGATGGCCGGGTCTGGGTCTTAGTCCATGAGGCCTCTTGAATGGCCTGGCTATGCGATAGGATCCTCTGGTCTGGGCAGCTCATGGGCTGCAGACATGGCTAACGCATTGTCCGGCCTTCTCCTAGGGAGCTGGACTCTGGCCTGGCAGAAGCTGTCTCTACACTGATCTGGGCTGCCCCACGGCTGCAGTCTGAAGTAACTGAGCTGAAAATCGTGAGTAGGGCAGTGCCCAGATGGGCAGGGTGGTGTGTCTGGTCAGGGCTGTCTAGAGCGACTCCCAGGGAGGTCTTGGTGCCTCCTATTTGTGTTGGTGCTGCGGGGCGCCTGACCGGGGGGCCCCAGGCAGGGAAGGCAAAGCGCTGCTGCTAGGGCTGGTCTGCATGGGGCTGGGGAGCCCAGGGTGTCACTATGCTCTGACTCTAGGCTTGTTCCCTGCTGCAGGTTGCAGACCAGCTGTGCGCAAAGTACAGCAAGGAGTATGGCAAGTTGTGCCGCACCAACCAGATCGGGACCGTCAATGACAGGGTAAGCGGTGGGGGGCTCGGTGTGACAGCCGAGCACAGGGTGGGGGCAGGAAGCAGACCCTTCCTCTCTGGGGCAGTTGTGGCATGCATTTAGCACGGACCTGCATGCTGCTTCCTGGGATGTGGTGCCTGCATCGTTCCTGGGAGAGCCCTGGGGAGAGCAGTGCTCAGAGCTGGGATGTCCCTGCTGCAGAGTTGCAGCCACCACTGCAGAACTGCTTGGGGCCAGGGGCAAGGCCTCCCCTTAAACTGTTGTGGCCAGAGAGGAGCAAGGCAGCTAGAGCCCTTGCTCTGCACCTCAGGCAGAATCCCCTGGCAGCTGCTCCCAGGCAAGGATGGCTCCAGAAGCCTTGGTGCCAGCACCCAACAGAGGGGTCCTGGCCAGGCCTGGCCTCTGCAGGTGCCAGTCACAGCCCAGCCACACCCCAGTGCTGGCACAGTGCCTGAGAGCCGTGTCCCTGCCTTGCAGCTGATGCATAAGTTGAGTGTGGAGTCTCCCCCCAAGATCCTGGTGGAGCGGTACCTGATCGAGATTGCCAAGAACTACAATGTGCCCTATGAGCCCGACTCCGTGGTAATGGTGAGTGAGGCCCAGGCTGCCCCTCCCCAGATGCCCTTCCCCACGCCCGAGGCATTGCCCTGGTGCTGGGGCATCTCTGAGAAAAGAGGAGCAGACATGACCACGAGCTGCAGCATCCCTGAAACATGTCCCATCCCCTGCCCTGCACCCCCTCTCCACCCAGGCCCTTCCAGCCTGTGCTGCCCTATCCGGGGCCGTGCCCCACCCCAGCCCCGTAGGCTGGGTCTGCAGTGCAATATCCAGGGCCCCAACCTCACACAGGCCCTCTGGGGACTGTGGTACCAGTCAGTCCTGACTCCTTGTGCTCCATTTCTGTGGCCTGCCCACGCAGGCCCAGGTTCCTGTTGCAGGGCTGGCAGGGGTTGCTGTGGCCACCAACATGAGCCTCTTCCTCCCTGTCAGGCCGAGGCCCCTGCCGGCAGTGAGGCGGACCTGATCGGGTTTTCAGATGACGTGAAGAAAGGCGGCCGTGGAGGGGGGGGCGGTGGGTTCACTGCCCCGATGATGGGTGCTGATGGAGTTGTGCCCATGCCTATGCCCATGCCCATGCCATCACCACCCCCCCCCTTCTCCTACCCACCACCCAAGGGACCGGTAAGTGTTTCTCGGCTGGCTGCTGCTGCATGGGGCATGTGTGCTCTGAGGGGAGGGCCCCAGTGCACCTGTGGTGCAGATCTGTTTGGAGCCCAGGGAACTGCCCACCTGGCAGCTCGGGCTTTGGGGAGAGTGCCTGTCCCAAAGCTCCCAGGCAGTCGTTTCTCTTGCACCCAGATGCTTTGAACACTGAGTTCTGCTTTCCTTGATGGATGTCTCGTTCCCTAGTGTGGGTCGCCTCCTAGGGCGAGTTTCTGTCCATGACTCTGATCAGTGTTTCTGAGACCAGTGTGCTTGGTGATGCTGTGATGTTGGGCCCCTGGGTCACTGCTGTGGGCACCAGGGGTGGTCTGGTGTGGGAGCAAGCACAGCCCCTGCTGGCAACACCTGATTTGCTTCTCTGTGCAGGAGAACTTCAACCACCTGCCTGTGGGGACCTACCAGCCTTTCACCAACATTCACCCACCTCCAATACCACCCATGCCCCCGACCTACGAGTCTGTAAGTACCTGCGCCAGTCCCAGAGGAGGGCACTGAGGGCCACTGAGAAGACGGCTAGCTTCTTGGGTGTACTCCTCCCAACCCTTTCCCATAGGGATGTTAAAGGATTAATTGCTTAACCGAGAAGCCCAGTTTAGTTTGGGGTGGGTGCCATTCGTCAGGGAAGAGGGGAAAGCCAGGGAGCTGTGGGGTGCTTCAGCAGGAACCAGAAGGCAGCAGGAGGGGGGTGGGGGGGGCTAATACCCATAGTCTAAAAGGAAAACAGTAGGGAGGTGGTCTAATGACTCATCAGTTCAGCAACTGGTTGCTAGTTCAGGGTGCTCCCTCCCAGGGTGGGGCTTCACCTGGCCTGTGTTGGCTGGCTGGGCTTCCCCACCTCCTAGCAGCAGCTGTGGGAGCTGCTGTGTTACAGGGTAAGGGTTCAACCAATATAATTAGAAGAGGTTAAAAGAATCATTTTTAAATGGTATTTGCATCCCTAACCTGGGGGTGGCTGTGTACTGCTTGGTGGCATGCTGGTCCACAGGGCATGCAGGAGCCTCTGCATGGGGCAGGGAGCTTGCTAGAGGGCTGAGCCAGGGGCCCCAGTGTCCAGAACGCAGAGTAGTGTCTGGCCGTGAAGATCAGAAGGCTGCAGCAAGCTGTCCTGCACAGGCTGCATGTCCCACGGGCAGGCTGGAGCCCTGCAGCTCGTGTCACAGGTTTGCCTCCTGCAGCTTTCCCTGGGCACCAGACATGTAGCTCGGGGACTGCTGGAAACGGTGCAATCTGCACCAAGCAAACTCCCCCTTGCTGCTGACTTTGCACCCAGCCCCAGAGGGGCAGGCAGGGCTCTGCATGGCCTGTCTGCATGCGCTCTCCCAGCCAGTCACTGTTTTCTTGGAAGCTGCCTGTTGTCATGTCGCCTTCACCCCATCTTCAGGCTCCATGTTCCCAGCCTGGGCCTGGGCCTGGCCCTTGTAAGGCCGGGGGCAGCCTGCTCTCAGTGTCTATAAGAGCTGCAACAGCAACTGTTGGCTTCTTGCCCCGGGACCATTTACAGCTCAGTGCCTTCCCTGTTCTGACCTGGAATGAGTCCTCCCAGCGCGTATGCCAGGGGCCTTTGTGATTCATCCCTCCCTTGGGGCAGCCTCCTTCCTTGATGCTGAAGACAAGTTGTGCAGGTGCCAAGTCCTGATTAACCAGGACAGCATTCATCTGGCACATCTACCTGGGTGGCCCAGGCATGTGGGCAGCCCGGGGGGAGGCCTGGCCCCATGGTGACAGCTTGTCTGTTCCAGATTGACATTGGCCCTGACCAGGACGTGCCTTCTGCTCAGGTGGCTGGTGAGTGTGGCAGGGGCTCGGGGGCCTGGGCTGGCTGGGACCCTGAGAGAAGGATGCATCTGTTGGAGATGGCAGGGAGGGGGGCCCAAAGCAGGCGCTGGTGACAGAGGGGATGATGAGGTTTGGAACCTTGCAGCAGAGGCTCAAGGGAAACAGAGCAGGGCGCGTTAGAGGAGCAGGCCTGTGTCTAGCAGCGCAGTCTGCCCCAGTGTGGCTCCCTCTGAGCAGGCCCTGTGGGCTGAGGTAGCCAGCCCATCCCTGTGCTTCCCTGGCAGCGGTGGGTGGGCAGGCAATGCAGAAGCCCTCGTGGGGCAGTGGGGCTGGCTCTGCACCTGTGGGAGCAGTGAGCACAGGGCGAGTGGGAGGTGGGACTGATCCCCCGCTTGTAACGCTGCCCCATTGCCCTCACCAGGTCCCGGGCCGAAGCCAGAGACCTTTGCAAAGCCCGCGGCCAGAGCACCAGACCTGCATGACAACTTCGTGCTGCCCGAACTACCGTCCGTGCCAGACACGCTGCCTGCTGCGTCTGCAGGTGCCAGCAGTGCTGCCTCCGAAGACATTGACTTTGACGACCTCTCTCGGAGGTTTGAGGAGCTTAAGAAGAAGACGTGAGGCCAAGGGGGCTGGGCTGGGCTCCAGTACGGGGCAGGAGCTCAGACTGGGCTGCTTCACTCCAAATGGTCTCCCCTAGCACCCGGGTCCTGTATTAACGGAAAACAAATGCTCTGTCCTCTCAGCTCTTCTGCTGTGCTTGTACCAAATGCTGCTGCTTCCCAGGCCCTTGCTCCAGCAGGTGCAGGCTGGAGCCGCTTGGAGGTGGGGCAAGGAGCGGCTCCGCTGCTGTCTGTGGGGGTGCAGGGCTGGGGTGATGTTCCCCGTTCTCTCCCCATGGGCTCTGTGACCTTCCCACAGGGCAAGGTGACTGGGATTCCCTGTTCCCGGCCTCTCAGGGAGCTCTCCATGGCCTTGGCTGCTCCACAGGGGTAGGTCTGTTCCCCCCACGAGAGGCAGCACCGGGCAGGCCCCTGGGCGCCGGCCTTGGGCGTGCACTGGCAGGGCACCAGCAGGTGGGTGTTGCACTCTAGCCCTGTCCTGAGCAGGGTGCGGGGCTGGCTGTGCCCTGTGCCCCCCATATCCTCTCAGCCCTGCAGTGCCCATGGTGTAATGTACTTGTACATAATATTTTCACTCCGCTTTTCTCTAATGGGTTTCAGTGGGTTTGTACTGGGTAGATTCCTTCCTAATAAAGGCTCAGGCCACAAGCAGCACGAGCGGGGCAGGTGTGCTTCTTTGGGCCAGCCTTGCACTGGGGGGAATTACTGGGCTGCTTCTGCATGGCCCTGGTCCTGGTCCTGGTCCTCTCCCTCTCTATAGGAGCCTCCTAGCTGCCTGGGCCCTTGTGTGGGGCCTGACACCCCGCGCTGGGCCAGTCCTGGGCACAAATTTAACATGCAGGGCAGAGGGGCATATTCACCCAGGCCCTGGGGGGTTGATGCCCTGCCCAGGAGCTACTTCCTGGTGTCTCGCAGGGCTCCTGAGCTCCCTTGGTCCTGGCTGTGGGACTCCCTTGGGCAAGGGGGCCTGTGCCAAAGGCAGTAAGAGCTCAGCCCCCCTATCCTGGGGGGAGGCAGCAGGCTGGCTGGGAGTCCTTGACCAACCCTCCAAACTCCTCCCTTTCTTGTGCAGGCAGGTGCCTGATGCAGGGGGGCAGCAGCTGCCAGTACCTGGAGGTGGTGGTGCTCTAAGGGAAGTGGAGGGAGGTGGGGATGGGCCAGCCTGCGCCATGAGCTGTAGCTCTCCTGGCCTGTGTGTGGAGGGGTCAGGGCATGGGTGCGGTGGGAGCCTGTGCTGTTGAACTGACAGTGTTGGCTGCAGGGTGGGGCAGGGAGCTGGGGGCTGCAGCTCAGGGAGGTCCCAGCTCCCCTCCACCCCTGCCCCCCTGTGCCAACGCACCGAGCCTCCCTGGAGTGCCCGGCTTGGGCTGGGAGCGGCAGAGGCAGTTACTGCGGGGCCCTACTCCCCCACAGGCTCGGGCTGCGCGGGGCCTCGTGCTGCTGGCTCGGGCCCACGGGGCTCCCCGGGACTCGCAGCTCCCCCGCCCGCAGGACCCAGCTACCTTCCCGCCCCGCCCCGCGTCGCAGCACCGCAGACCGCCCTTGCCAAGCACGCGTTTATTGGGACGGCGGGGCCGGGAAAAAGATCGGGGCCGAGGCGGGCTCAGGGCGGCGCGGCTGCGGGC